CACAAAACAGAGCAAGAGGACGAGGATATCATGAACATCTTTCGTAAGGTGGAGGTAAATTTTCAGTTATTAGATATAATTAAATAAATTCCTCATTACGCCAAGTTTCTAAAAGATTTTTGCATTCAAAGAAAAATTTGAAAAGTAATGAAAATATCGAAGTTTGCGAAAATATTTATAGTATTTTTCAAAAAGGTTTACCCCTAAAGTGCAAGGATCCGAAAATTTTATTGATTCATCGTAAATTGGGAGCCTTTCTTTTACAAATGCCATGCTTTATTGAGGTGAATTAGTCAATGTCCTCCCATTATCTGTTTTTGAAAAATTAAAATTGCGTACTTTATAAAAAAGACTGGGACACTCATTCAGTTGGCAGATCACTCGATAATACATCCAAAAGGTGTATTGGGGGATGTTCTTGTCCAAGTGGGTGAGCTTATTTTTCCCGCTGATTTTTATATTTTGGACATGGGTAATTTGAACATATCAGATACAAACTCTATTATTTTAGGCGGGCGACTTATGAAAAGTGGAAAAACAAAAATATATGTTTTTAATGGCATAATTGCAATGGAATTTGATGAGGAAGTGGTTAAATTTAGACTAAATGATGATTATTTTCCAACTGATAATATTTATTTTATTTTTTTAGGTACCAACAGTCCTTTGTCTGAGGAATGTTGTGAGTTTGCTAATGTTTCTATGCATGAAAATTTTGTAGATAGAAAATTATATGACACATCAAAAGAGCTAGAAAAGGGAAAGCTTGGGGAAGAAGTAGAGAAACTAGATGCTGATAAAAACCTGAAAAGAAATAAGCTTGGGGAGGTGAAGGAGCATCTGATTGTTGCTGAAGAAGCATCAGAGAAGGAGCTAGTAGAAAAAGATAAGCTTGGGGAGGAATAAAATAATATTTCTTGAAAGTCATTTAAAGAGAATGTGACGGTTTCTACTGAGAAGAAAATCAGAGAAAGAAAACGAGTCAAAAGACTGAAGAAAAAGTTTTCGTCTAATAAAAATCTGAAGTCTTTTTAGTATGTTGTATAACCACTAGATCCACCAATTATGCCACATTTGAAGGGATCTGCAGTGAGGAAAAAGATTTAGCTGCAGAGAAGTCTAAACCACACCAGTTAATAATCCAGTTCCAAAAAGTCAAGCCAACAACTCTAAAAATTGGCAGCTTTCCAGAAGGCAACCCAATACGTAGTTTTATCTTATTTTTCTGCTTTCAATAAAGAGAAGGTGGCAGTTGCAAACAAGGTTGGGGAAATCAGAGGATCTTCAAAGTTAATGAAATTTAGATTTTTCACCAATATCTTCGTCAGAATCAATAAATTTTGCAAACTTATCAGCTACGTTATTTCGTAGTTGCAACATTTTGTTTTTATATGCCTTACGGAGTTGTTCATTCCTGTCTGAATATTAAGGATAATGGATCATTTTAAGCTTGGGGAGGGGGTTCTTATAAAAACTTGCATTTTTTGTTAAAAAAATTTATTTTTCTTATTTTCTGTTGAAAATTACACTTTTTCTTTTTGCATTTTTATTTTATTTTTGAATTCACATAAAAAATTCATTAAAAAAACCAACAAAATGTTTTATTTCTAGTTATTTTAGTGTTTATTTTCCACATAAAAGAAAAAAAAAAGTTTCGAAATAAAAATTGAAACTAAAGTTACATGATATGATGACATATTTGCATTCGATAGCTCTGTAAAAATGGAAAATGGAAGTCCGAAGCGATCAGATCAATAGTGGTAACTTCAATAATAGTTCTCATAAATAAGGGTTGCAAAGCATTGTGAGTCGAGATACTAGATGTAAAAAATAAAAGAAATGGTGTAACAAAACATTGTGTGGGCAGTAATAATAGTTCAAAATTATTGTCTTTGGAATGTTTAAAAAGAACCTCGTTTGACAAGTCTGTACCCGCTAAACACGGACCTATTTGTTGACACGTGTTACCTTCAATGTAATGGTGAACCTTAGACCCATAGTCAAAAAGAAAAGAATGGTACAACTCTCATATCTGATACCCAAGTTAAAGTTCAAGAACATAATCAAAGAAATTTCAAGAAATTTAAAAAGACAATTGAAGAACTCCAAGTTGAAGACAAAAATACAAAGAATCAAGTTCAAATAACTCAAAATCCATAAAGACAAATCCGGATCGAATGAAGAACAATATGATATGATATTTGTTGCTCTTAGAAAAGTGAAAGCATAGGAGTTGGCCTCCTATGGGTGTAGCATGGTGCTTCAACAAAATTCTAAAACATGTTACTTTTTCTTGCAAGGCTAACTAAGGTATAAAGTTTAAATAAAAGTTACAATTGTTTGTTGGTTCACACTATCAAGATTCTTCTTGACTTTGGAAATTGGTGAAAGATGGAAGGTATCATGATGATTGTCTTGATAGTGATTCCATTGGATCTTCCCTCGGGGTTAATTATGATCATGTGAAAAAAATAGTGAAGTATTTTTAAAGCAAATTTTTATTTTCCTTTATTTTGTTCTAAGTTCTTTTTATCTCATATACATCTTTCCATGTCACTAATATTGTTTAATTTTTCTATTACTTGGGACCAAGAAAGGTTCAAGCTTGAAGAGATTTGATAAATGCAATTTATGCAACTTTTAGGGTAGCTTTTATTAAACTTTAGCATCATCACTTACACATTTTCATATCATTAATTTAAATAATGTTAAACTCATGTCATTCGTTAGAATTCCTGTAGTGCTAGCATTTTCAAATAATTCGAGTGCAGCGGTAATTAGGGAGCAACTTTGGATGCGTTTGATGGAGCATTGGAGTTAAATGGATATTGGAACTTATAAAGCATTATGAGGAATTCTTAGAAGTTGTTTTGGTCAAGAAAAATTCTATCAAATTGATCCTACGAAGATAGATTCCTACACTCTAAAGCCTCAAGGATGTTGTTGACAGCTTGGACCCCCTGTCAGTATTTTGACCAAATATCATGACTCGTAACTCCGATTGACATGATTAAAATGATTCGGAAATAGGAAAAAATTTTGGATGAATTTCGTGTTTGTGAAAAAATCAGGAAACGCAAAAACTTGATGGAATTTTTCCTTGAAATTTGATCGAATAAACACTTCGCAGTTCGGAAGGTTTGAAAATCAAAAAAAAAATTCAAAATTCGATCAAAATATGAAAAATTCGATCGTGTGATCCAAAAGTTTGATCATATATATGTTACCTATTTGATTAGTTTCAAGGTTGGACGATTCCTTAAACTCTATATGATCGTGTGCTTCTATCTACTTTTTATTTATTTATTTATTTATTTCAGTTTTAAGCTTAATGAATGTTTGATTTTTAATTCTTCTTAGTCTGGTCACCTAGATACGATTTAATCATTCAAGTTGTTATGTAATGGTTCTTATTAATTGGTAATAAGTAACAAGTAACAAGTATTAGATTGGTTCCGTGTAGGGATTTAACTCTGATATAAACTGAAATTTCATACCTTTACGCTCCATATCTTTTGAGAAGTATTGGTATTTGTGGGAAATTTTACACAAAACTTAATGCAACTTTTCTAATTTTAATTACAAGCTTGTTTAATTAAACATTGGAAAGTTAGAGTTAACTGAAGAGTTGGTTTGGATAATTTAACTAGGTAAAAGAGATTATACTAGATCTTATTCGTTTTGCTCAGTACCATCATAGATAGAATGCATTCTGAATAACCAAATCTGGGTTGATTGTATGATTAAGAAAGTTGCAACATAACTGAATTTATTTTTACTACTAATTTTCTTTAGTTTACTTCACTACAATTTTTGTCTTTTGTAAATAATCAAAAAATCCCTTTTTATATTTTTCTGTTTTAATGACTAGTATGTTCTTGATGCAAAGAGGCATTAACCTTTAGGATGTGTCCTTGAGGATTCGACCATGCTTTCTTGTGCTACCCATTAGTGCAACCAGTAGTGAAATTATTATTTTTTTAAATCATACGCGACAATGGTTTAACAATCACTAAGATCATAGGGTTGACATTGTCGCTGATACTGATGTTGGCACTAATGATGATGTTGGTGCTGGTGGATAGCATGTTATGTGTTTGACTCATTAGATCATAAATTGTGACCTTGCTATTTAGCTTCAGTCACAATCTCAAGCTTCAATCACTTAAAGTCATCAAGATGTGGATAAGCCAAACGCTTACTAAATTTAATAAAGATAATCACACGATAGCCTTGTTCTAGTTCTTTATAACGGAGGCGCTCTAAAAGAAGATTGAACAGATGCTCAGTGGGAGCAGCAGGAAGATATTCAATATATATATATATATTTAAAGCACATTTGATTTTGACTATCAAGGTAAAAGATACCATTTTTTGGCTACCAAATGAACATGTGTTGAACTGGATCAACACCCACTAGCCGCCTCTTTATATATATACAGTGCTATACGGAAGAAGGAACTTAGTATATTTGAACATTCTGAGATGGCTAGTTATTTCAGAGGTAGATGGCTTAGATAGACCAGATGAAGGTACTATGTTAAACTTCTTAACTTTGTTGATGAAATGTTGAATTGCCAAATTTACCTCCTAAGCATGAAAATCTTTATGTTTTGAAATTATCTCCTAAATCTATATCCACTCACTATAGCTATATGTAACTAACTTACGACTGAAGATAACTTTAGTGTATTCATACTCTACCTTCTTCCTTAATAGATGAACCTTGAGTGATTCATCCTTGTGTTTGGAGCACCTTACCTTAACGATGGGATCATGTTCCTATCTTCGAGCTAGAACATCTCCAAATTTCTTTTGGTTGATTCGATCATTCATCTCAGAGACCATGTTTCATTTGGCCACATCGATATTGAAACGCTTAATATTTGTCATGTGTCACCCTATCTGAGGAAGTTTGAGAGATCGATGTTCATCCCTTCTTTTTTGAACATAAGCATTATGCTCCATCATGGTTTCTATGACCTCCCAATGGTCATTTGTCATTTCTTAGTCAAATATTCTAGATCAACTCTTAAATTGGTTTTCTTGGAAGGGGAAGGGGCTGAAGAACTACCAACAACTGAGGACCTTCCAGCTTCATCGTCATTTGCTCCCCGTGAGAAGGAAGCCATACTTTTTCTAGGATTGAGTTGATCATCATCAAACTCAATCCCATTGTGAATTCCTTGAAGAATCTTCCCTTCAGAATATGCTTCAAGATAAATGACACTTAGAGGAACAATATGCTATGCCATGAAATCCAAATCAAGAAAGCCTTCATAATCATCATGATCAGTTTCAGACTGGTCATCATCAGCTTCCAGATTAGGCTGATCATTATTCATTGCTTCTGATTGATTGACAACCATTTTTATTTGATTATCCTTCCTTCCTGATTTAGACTAATCAGGTTGACATGGAGTTGAATTCGTTATCACCAGTTGTTGATTATTCTCTCTCTTTTTGGAATCATTAGTTTTGGGATGAGAATTATGAGGTGGAGAGGGAGTGCAAGGAGGGGGATTTGTTGGTGGTGGAGGAGGATAATTTCTAGGTGGTGGTGGAGGTGGTTAATCATTGTCATATGGTGCTAGAGGTGGAATATTCTAGGTGGTAGTGGAAATGGTTGAATATTCCATAGAGAGTTAGGAGCAGACTCTTCAACCATTACATCATCATCATCAATCAAAGGCATCATGTGTTTGATGTCAGCCACATGACTTTCAGCTTTGGTCAGTATTTATCCAAGATATTGAGCCATCTGAACCAATATGGAGAGCTGGGAGAGCATAGTCATTTGGAAGTTAGAACTATATGCCCTGAAAAAGTAACAATAGGCTATACTGATGTTGGAATTGGAGGGACAATTACAACTTAAGGAGAAGGAGATGCTGATATTAGAGACTTTACAACTTAAAACAGTGGATTTAATGGAATCCATTTGAGGTAGGGATGGTCCATGATATGATATATCCTATGTGGAAGGAGTTGATGAGGGAGAGGGTGAAGAATAACAAATATTCTTGTATTATCTTTGAGGAGAATTAATCATCATTGCCTGAGTAGAGGCCTCTCATATATCAGTGTCTAATGAGTTAGTATCAACATCAAATTCATATTCATCATCATCATCATCATCATCATCATCATCATCATCATCATCATCATCATCGTCTTCGTCTCACTCATCGTTCTCTTTATCAGAGTCAGAGGATTCAACAGCAAAAGGGTTTGCAAGCCAATCCTCCATAGGTTGAGTAAGATACTCAAATCCCTTAATAGGACTGGCATTGATAATCTTTGAAGAGAGCGCTGGAAGATTTATGGAGATTCTATGGTTGAGATTGTAACATTTTTCAGTACAAGCTAGGATTAATACAAGCCGATGAGGATACAAAACATATGATGGAGTTTTGTTCCCAGTGATGCATTCTACCAATTGATCGAAGAAGAGTTGAGCAAAATCTAGTCTTTTGTTGCAGGCCATGGCATACATAACTCATTGCTCAAATAAGTTCAAACAGTCTAAGCTACGAGTATTATGTCCAAGGCAAGTTCCAATTACCCTTGTAAAATACTTCCACCTAGCACAATAGCATTAATAAAGGGTATATTTAGTTAGATCATGAGTAATGCCCCGAGGAGAGAAATTATACAATGATCTAGGTCAAAGAGGCATGCATTTTTACTCAGAAGGAATTTCAGAGTAGTGGTCTGATTAAGGAAGGCATAAAGTAAATCGGAAAGAATCGACATTGATAACAACCGTAGAATGATTGTCTCCAATAGTTCTAGCGATGTTTTGATCATTAGCATTTACAATGCAAGAATACCATAACTCACATACTTGCTTAGGACAGAATGGCTCTATTAAATCACAGAATGCATAGCAAAGAGGGAAGCTTTTCACATAATTGACAAAATCTTCAATCCCTGAGTTCTTATACTGATTGGGGATGGTATCTTAGAAGGCAACATTGTTTTCTTGGAAAACAATGGGAGTATCAGGAGAATAGGGGACTTTAACTATGTTAGCATCAGGAGAAAAGACATAGAGAACATTGGAAATGATGAGATCTTGAAGAACTTGAGACATACATGATGATGATCGAGAGTTCGTTTGAGAGAGAAGTTGAATTGCTTGGATGAATTGTAAAGGTGACCAAGAAGAGAGAATTCTCCTATTTTATCCATGTGCTTTCTACCCTTTTGTGTAATCATGATTGGAGAAAAAGGGGCAATAAAAATGTCATATTTCAAGATAATGTTACACATATTGATCATCATATAAAAGTAACCATTGAGATTAGTGCATTGTGTATCAGTAAGAGACACAATATGAATTCCATGATTCATCAGCAGAAGCGATCAGCGTATCAGAGTTACATTATTAGTGGACCAAGGTTGTAGCCGAAAGATGAGTGAGATTGTAATGTCTCCTGATAGCTTGTGTTTGTACTATCATTCATTGGCGTAGTATTGCAAAGTCTCATCAGCACATTGTGTTATAGGCTGAATCATTAACTTCTTTTGTTAAAAAAAAAATAAAGCTTTAGAATGTAAGGATGCGTGTAATACATTACAATATGGAATGTACCCATCGGCAACGAATGTCGAAGTTTTATCAATGTATGATAAATATAGTGAATCGTCAACTTCTTTAATAGAATATTTTTTGGGAGAGAATCGGCAGGTGCGTGTAATATATCACAGATAATGATACACTCATTGCCACATAGTTTTTCGAATCCTCATGAGCGTCTGGTTTCATACACTGAATCATAAGATTCTAAAGAAGAATGTATGGAAAGAAAGGATTTGTGTGTGTGATAAGCTATAGTACATATCCTAACCATCGACACATTTTCTTCAAGCTCTCATCAGCATATAACATATACGTTGAATTGTAAACCTTTTAAAAGAGTTTAAGGGAAAGAAGGGATTGGTGCATATGATAGCCTACGAAAACATAGACTAACCAACAGCACAGAGCTTCAAACTTTTATTAGTGTGATATATCATAGTGATTTGTTAAGTTTTATGGTGAATATTTTTAAAAGAGAAAATGAAAGATTTCAATCACATTGAGGTGAAATCAGCGTGAATCATGAACTATGTAAACTTATCAACGAGAAGTGGTTTATCTGCTTTTATCATGAAGTTAAGTTGCAGTTTAGAGTTTAAAATTAACCATAAATTCATTTAAAAGTGTACACGATAATAATATAATAAATAATAGAATTAAGAACGGAATAAGAGAATAAAACAAAAGAGTTAGTCAAACAAGGAAATTTTATAATACTGAAATTTGTGCAACTTTTTCATAAAAGATATAAAGACCTAATCCAAAAAATCCTTTGAAGTGAAGGATCATAAATGAGTTTTCATTCTCCGAGATATCTACCTCTCAACATTGTCTACAAAAGAGTTCAGAAGAATGACCAAATTAATCAACAAAAAGCACAATTCACAAAAAACATAGAGAAAAGATGCCTTCAATTATTGAGATATTGCAGATAGATTCCAAATTTCATGTTCACTAAGAACATAGGAAGAAGAAGAATGGTCTTTATTACCAATGATTTACTAGGATCCAATCTTTGCAACCTTCCAGTTATGAGAGTCACCAAAACAAAACTCGAAGGTTCCATTCATTGTGATCTGTTATACGAGTGATGAGGAGCACTATCTTGTTAAATAGATATTTGGATCTCTAATGGGGATCAGTGTAGAAGTGAGAGAGTCTACGAAAATTAAATGTTCCATGTTGCCTAACTTCACCTCATCCCATTGCAACCAATATAGGCTTTAAGAGAAAGATGAGATTTGTTTCTAGAAATACAAGTTTAAACACAGTTCTCTCTTATCTTGACTCATTAGCAGGATGCTTCATGTTATTCATCATGATCATCAGATTCAGGGAGAGAACAGTTTGTGCTAAAGAAAAGATGTAGAGCCAGCTCCAGCTAGTTCTACTCAGAAGATTTTAAACCAAAGGAACGATACGTTGATCATTTATTAAAGGAAAAGTCAATGATGGTAAGTTTCTAGATGAAGGCAGAAGATCTTGATACTTAAAGACTGAGAGAGAAGATTGCGTAGAGCAAATATTAGTATTGGAATATACAATGTATACTCCTTTGGTGAAATGAAAGGTAGAAAGAATTTTTCTAAGAATAAAAAATAAAATAAAAATTAGTAGCTTACTCTCAGAAATTCAAAATAGTGAAAAGCAATGTAAAGAAAGCATAAAGCAGTATTGTTAAACATAAAGAAAATCAAAGCATGTAAATGTTATTGTTCCTAAATGAAGTGAGCACAATTATGTTCCTTGAGTCCATAAATTTCCTTCATTTGAATCGAAGAGAACTTTGTAGTCAACATCACACATTTGACTAAATGAAATGAGATTGTTTTGAAGGCCCTTGACACATCTTTCAGCTCAAATAATTTTCACTTATTTATACCCACACCTTTGAGTGCTCCTCCGCTCCCATCTCAAAAATTAACAATAGGAACATATTTCTCCACAAAATCATTCAAGTAGAACTTCAGACTATTCATCTGTCTAGAAAATTCGCTGTCTAAGTACCTGACATGCTCCTGACACTGTCGAGTAGAAGAGGGAATCCTATGTTTCATCTTTGACCCCATATAAGCTTCATAGGAACCAACATCACATCTATTAAAACTACTATCAGGGTCTTCCTTGACAAGATCCATAAGATGTTTAACCTTTAGTACTTCGTCTTCAGAGGAATCTTCTTCTTCAACCCATTCCTCACATTCCTCTTGTTTTACGATAAAAACTTTTGGTTGAGAGATGTTATCCTTCTTTAAGTGGGCCAACAACTTATTATACAGGAATTCACAGTTTTCATGGATTTGAGATTCTCTCTTCTCTTTATAGTGCCTGAATAAATGGTCAGGACATCCACGATTAAAGCAAATACATGATTTTATTTTTTCATCGTTTTTCTTTCTTGCTTAGCTATTTCACTTGGACTAGAATCTTCTGGCTCCATTATATCTACTTTCTTCACAACGTTTAACAATGAGCAAAGCACTAGCAACCAGTACATCAAGGATTTTCTCGTTACTTATTTAACCCTGATTAGAATCATGATAGCCCCTGATGAGATTGACTGCTTCTTTTCTGGAGACCAGGGCTACATATTTTTCTTTGTTTAAGTCCTTCATGATGTCTTTATGGAGTTTTAGTTCCTTTGTAATTTCATATTTTTGCAAACAAGGATTTGAGATTCATGATAATCCCCAACCATGGGTATCATTTACCAAAAATTAAAACCTATTAAAGGTTTGAGTTAGTGACTTAGCTTGCATAGAAAAAAATGCTCATATCTCCGATTAAGATTGTTAATCGTTGTTGCTTGAACTTCCAGAATGCCTTCATAAGCCTCAAAGATCATTTCCATAATTTCTTGAGCAAATTCATAGTTTTGAACCAGATGATACACATGATAAGGAAGAGAGTTTCCTATGGCTACCTATGCTTTAACATCAAGACTGAGAAGTCTTTTGTCATTGTCGCCATAGTAGTCTCTGAATTTTATTTCATGGGACCAACATGAGTGTTTTTAACCATAGTTTGATACATGGGAATGTGTGGACCTTTTTCGTCGATGTTAATAATATCAGAGTCCATGGTTTCAATAACAACACTAGCTTTTGATTTCCAACTTGCAAAACTGTATTCGTTGAAATATGGAATCTTGTTTAAGGCCGCTAACTTTGGATAATCAGAAGAAGACATGATAACTTGAATGCGTAAACCCGGTATGATAGCAATTGAAGGTTTGTATCAATCAGATACATTCAAGTATGATCAATAAAGAACAAACAAAGAACAGAAGAACAAGATGACCATAAAGATACTTTCATTAAGAAAGGGGTTCTCACAAAGAGAATAGGTCACAGAGACGACACAAAGTAGTATTGGGGTTTGACGGTAATAGTATACTATATAGTATTATAGAAATGGAAATCCGACTATTTTGGGGATGTATACTAATTTATGTAAGGGCCCAATCCAAATCAGTAAGATTATGGATCAAACATTTATTCTATAGGTACAGAGAATATATTCCTAATGTACAAATGATCACTAAGATCATTAGGTCATGCCGTCACTGATAATGATGTTGGCACTGATGCTGACACTGATGTTAGCGCTGGTGGATAGTTTGTTATGTGTTTGACTCATCAGATCATAATATGTGATATTATAGATGATACCTTTATAAACTACAAGACATGCTTATATTCATATAAACATCTACTTATGATCTTGTGGTCTTTCTTTAACTTTTATACTAATATTTCACATCAAAGTATAAGCATGTTTGGTAGCATCCTATTTAAACGTGTATGATTTATTAGTGATTTATAGCATTTTGACAATGTTATTTCACAAACTCTTAACCAATAACAAGGTATGATACATTTTAATGTATGAAAACATGAAAA